GCAAAAAGGCAAGCAGTGCAGCATTTGCTGCCTGGATAGAAGTTCTCACTGTTGTATTGAGGCATCAAAGTTGAAATCCAATCAAATATCTTTATTGGAACCTTTGACCAGCCTTTACAATGTAATGATGAGGATAGGATTAACAATAATTATATATATGTATGTATGTATGTATATATATATATGCATATATATGTATATGCATATATATATATATATATGCATATGTATATGCATATGTATATGTATATGCATATATATATGTATATGTATATACATATCACTGCCTAAGTATGTAAACTGCCCAGGTTCGAATCCCATAAAGCAGTGGTTCTCAACCTGTGGGTCGGGACCCCATTTGGGGTCGATCGACCATTTCACGGGGGTCGCCAAGCAAGGCTGTCCGCCATTTTTTTTGTCCGCCATTTTTCCCCCCCTTTTCTGGCGGGTGCCTTACCTCCCTTGGGCTGGGCCAGCTGGTGGTCGGCCTGCTCTGTCTCTGCCGCTTGCCAGATACGCCTCGGCCGGCGCAGGGGGCGGAACCACGCATGTGCGGCGCTCCCAGGCAGGGAAAGTCCTCGACTTACGACCGGTTGGGTAGTCCTCGACTTACGACCAGTTTAGTCCTCGACTTACGACCGGTTGGGGTCGCGGCATTAAAAAGGTTGAGAACCACTGCCATAAAGGGTATGGCTAACTGATGAAAGCAGAACAAGCTAGAAATGGCCATCTTAGTCTCCCGATTTAATTCTTTAACTCTTTGTCAGAAAAAGAAATTTGGATTTAAAAATGTTTCGCAGTTGCGACTTGAGCCTGCTTAACGCCCCTAGTTGGGGGGCTGCATGGTAAAAGATATTGTAAAAAGTAAAAAAACTGCAGTATAGCAGTTAAAAATGTCCAGGTGTTCTCAATCAGACCGGTCTGTCTGAAAAAAACTTCCTACACACACACACACACTAAAAGAAGGAGTAATTTAATACAACATGGCGGACCTACCTGGGGCGGCTCCGTGACAGAGTGGAGCCCGAAACAGAAAATGGGGGGCCTCCCGGAGGCCGAGGGCTCTCCTGTGATTCAATTTGGAGAGCTGAACTCGCCAGCAGTCTAGTCTGGCGAGGATACTGAGGGGCGAAGGGCCGGTGCTCGGCGGAGCCTCGGCGAAGCCAGGCGGAAGACCC